TCAATACTAACAAGCTATCGTTTGTAAAAATTGTTTATCATTTCGTCAATTTTTTGTTGTTGTTGATATCATTTCCGACTGAATATAACTCCCATCAATTTCTTGCCAACTTTACATTATCGTTTACATAAAACATATTTTTGTTTCATTAAAAAAAAATGTGATTTGCAATGATAACAACTTGAAAGTTGTGTTTATGTTTGTTAATTATTTTAATTTCATGTTTATCTAAGTTTTTAATATCAGTTACGCTTGAAGAATTCATTCATGAAGTAAAAAGTTTTTCTTTTATATTTGATATTCAGTTTAAACTTTATTCAATCTCCTTTTGAACACATGTGGTCATTTTTTGCTGAAAAACTAGTCATTGAACTACTACATATATCGAGTATGTGAAAGTATCAATCACTGATTGTCTGTTTATTGATCAAGAATATAGTTTCTTTTTTTGTATTCCCTCATACATTCTGATGAGAACAGTGATAAATACGTTCAGTTTAGGAATATAACATTTAAGAAATCATTGAACTTACCTACTTATAACAGTATGAATAACACTAGTTTTACAATTGATTGATCATTGGGTGGTGATCACTGTCATGTGTCTCATATCCTTATTAGTGTAGATCAAATACCATCGATCAAGTTGCAATGTAGCCACTAATCTAGGTAACACAATATCACGTTCACTATGTTGAGATAACACTAGTTTGTCTACTTCAGATAAATTATCATATAAATACTATTTCAGGAGATATTATGTGTATTTATACTCTATCTGTAAAATAATATATTGAATTGTTTTAAGTTCAAATGAAGTTTAAGGTTCATACGATGGATAAGTGACAATTCTTCGATGAGATGAAGGAATTTCAAAAGATATTTTTATAGACATTAAGAAACTTCGCCTACCACGTACTAATTTCGTGTTATAAAAAATATACATGTTAGAAGATTCTAAATGAATTCTCCGTACTGATACAGCAGGTAGCTATTCATGAATGCAAAAATTCTCATTAAATCTGTTAATAGAAGTTATTTAAACAGAGTATTCATTCTATTTCACGGTTTCTCATCAGCTACATACAACCTTAAATTGCAATTACTAGCATAAATATAATTATTAACAAATGTTTACCATACTTTAGTTTGTAAAGTTTAGATAAATGTTTGACATGCAACCAATATCAAAATCATCCACCTTAGCTACAAATCTTTTCCACCATCTCAATAATCAGAAGAATATGGGATACAAAATGTATGAATAAACATAGACAAAATCGATATGTATTAACATGTTGAAAAGTAATAATCCGGAGTAGAACAGATGTTTAAGTTACCAGTAATGATAAGTGAAGAAATTTATAAATGATTAAGTAATCACTCGACATGAGAAAATAAATAAATTGTTGAACATAAAATTGTGTAAAAGATGAATATCAGAAGATGGAAAAGAAAAAAGCAAAGAAGAAATGGATGGAGACAGCGTTGAAAAAAAATAATTAAAAATTATTCAGGGTTATTCGATTAAAAATTCAATCACCATGTAAAAGAAATACAAATCACACTTACCTTATGTGTACATAGGTCAAGTTGAGAATGTTTAATAGAGATCGCATCAGTAAAACGCATTAAGTTTGATATACTTCGTCTATTGATTATTTAAAATGTATTATTTACATTCACTTCGTGTTCACTGTCTGGAAGACATCTGAAAATGCCCTTATGAAGACTTCATTTCCTTTCAAACGTAGGTTTCTACAAACGTCTTTATAAATCTAATAGAAACTGTTCTCTCTTTTCTTTCTAGAAACTTGCTACTGCAGGTACATATAAATTCATAGATGTTACTGGAGGTGGAGACGAAAGGTTATCGACCTACCTTTGAATGACATAACGGAAACTTCATGTTGAATAGTGAAACTAATTGGAGTTTTCTTTCATATTCTATCGTAAACATCATGCTTGCATGAGAGTTGAAATTAATAGGTAGTTAAGAAGCGTGATCCATACCATCACAGGTACTTATCCTATAATCGACGTATACAGAGCCGCTTGTTCAGTCGAAATCTTCAGGTTATAGGCATTGTATTTATTTGAGCACATGAATATTGGCAAAAAGGGAAACCGAATTCATACGCGCGACACAAGTCACTTCATTTGTGCGTAACGTGTGATACTGCCCGTTTGCCCAGACGAAAACAGGTGGTTGTATTAGGGAGCCACACCCAAAGCCTTCGACTTAAAGGTCTGATCCACAAAGCAGTGGAGCAATGTCAGGAAATGCAGTCCCATGGTAGCAGGTGACAAACGATTGGTTCATGCGACATTTATTCGTTCAGGATACTGAAGACCATGTGCACCATTGGTTTTCCAACTCCCCTAGGTGGATCCTCCATATTTACCAACCCGGTTAAAGCGACGGGCATTCGATTTTTGTCCTCTCAATTTCGCAAACAACAGTAATGTCACGAGAAGGCAGTGGGTAGGGCTGCCCTTACAGAGTGGCTGTATACGCATGACCATATGAGAGCATTTTGAGGGAGAGAAGGCTCTCCCCACCTTCGGCCATAGCAGGGAATTCGGGGTAAGTGGACAAGTGGAGAACTCCACTGTTTCAATGAAACACTATGATATCGCAATCTCTTAACATACATCAAAATTCATAGTTTCTATATCAAGGACTGGTCTTTTTCAAATCATCATTGAAAACTAACAACCACTGGGCGGATGATACGCCTTCGTACGGGATTCCTCAAAAGTGCTCACCTACGACTCTGCCATCAGAGACAGAAACTGGCACCTTCCATCTCATGCGTGAATGCTTAGCATCGAAACCAGTATGTGGGTATCTGATATGTCTTTGAGATTGAACGCTACTTTGTTATATCTGGTCATTTATTTCTTATACTTGTAAAGCGGGAAATCAACTCTATTCTCATGACGCGAAAGTGAGAAAACGAAGACTGGTTCAAATGAAGATTTATTAACCCCAAAACACGACGACAATGATGACAACAACCCTAGTCATTTATATATTGATCCGTACACCCATTCTCATTAATAATTAGGATGAACTCACATATATAACGAATAATGAGGATCGTAACAAATCATATGTTACATGTCATGCTGAGTATAATTCATGCCAATTTAATACAATAATACAGTATGTCATACAGAATAAAATATCATACGGGAAAACAGAAACAAATACTACATTGAGTTAAAAAGGAATTACTGTTGAACAAACATCATAATGAGTAAATCAATCTAATTTTAACTTTTCCCGTCATATCAGCATCCACTTGGGTGTATGTTTAGTTCCGATCAATTCACAATTCCGTGCAACCATCGCCCATTCTCTGTAGTGTGTAACTTTTTCACATACAAAGTTGTTGACCTCTAGTGTCCACAGCCTTTCAGTACGATTCCTGAGATTCGCTCTCTAAGCGAGGTAGTAGTTTGTCGGTCAGAGGTTCAACTTCCAAGTACAAAGTCGTTGATGCTCACTACTGAGAAGTTCCATACTAGCACGAAATGGCCATACAAACATTTATGATTTTCGTTGGTGGTCTAGATAAGATCAGTTTATATCTTAAACTATGAAAAATGATCAGTTATTATTATTAGCTTAATTGTCTGAGGTAGGTTTGGTTGACAAATTTATTTGTGTAAACAGGAGAATATTATTATTATTGCAATTAGTTTAATATTAAAACGCTGATTAGTTTATGTGTAGCAAACATAAAATATTTATAGACGTTTGGTTACTGGTTTCAACTAAATACCATACAATAACAATCGTTCTAACATCAAAACTGTTACATACCAAAAGTTATTTCAGTCAAATGAACATGCCTTTGCTCAACGAATGTTTTGTTGCTATTCTTTGCTATTTAAAATCGCTATTCATTTAACTTTATTTGAGTAGAGCATTGACAGATTCAGTCAGCATTTCTAATTATGCCTAACTGGTTAATTGTTCTCTGAAGAGGTGGCCTACACTGAGTCACGAAACCTAACAAAATTTGATTTTTCTACTAATTGTGATGTTACAAATATATTAATCTATTTATAGCAATCTACCCAGTGTCCAATCTGTTAGAAATTATCAAGTCAAACCTTGGTAATGATACCTATGGCGAAATAACGTTTTGTTTGATGCAAAGTTCATATGTATGTACCTGGGTCAAAATGGTAAACTTATATATGAGTTAGCGAATCTCGATAAACTTAAGACATATTGCTCACATATCATTTTACAGAATATTGACGTTTAGTATGCAGGGTAACAGATCCCAAAGTAAAGGTCACTTGCATATCGATGGCCCTCCGCGAGATTCAAACCCAGAACCTATCAGTCTTGAGCGCGAGCGCTTAACCATTAGACCACTGAGCTAGCCGGCATCCAACTGTGTTAATGTCTAACCTCAACCAATCCACGAATTTGTGTGACCATCTTCCATTGTATTGAGTTAGAGATCTGTTTCTACCTGACACGGATTAATCCCATTAGTCTTATCTTTTCACTAGAACTCTAGGTTTTCAATGAATGGTCTAACATCAATCGGTTCATGATCTCAATCAAATTTTTATCTATTAACGATAGGTTAGTCGGTATTTTATAAATCATTACAATTTAATAAACGTGGATTTTATTTAATTAAGCTGATACATGTCAGCATGATTTTAATTTATAGTTATTCAAAAACCAAACAAAATTTAGCCTTAACAACTAGTTGATTTTTTTATTTTACATTATGTGAAACGTTTAAAAAAATGTTTAAGTGACTAGCATTTGATTGGTTCATTTAATCTATATCACACATAACAGCCAATCAAAATTCAAATATAAACAGCCTATCAGAATAAAATATTGAAATTTAATTTTAAACGTTATTAATATTATTGTTGTCAGGGTTGTTTTTATTTTTTTGTTTTGTTGCATGTTTACCATTAAAAAAAATTAAAACACTCAAACATAATACCAAATAATTATGTCATATACTAATGAAACTAATTTACAATTTTCATTTACATTTTATTATTATGTACATTATCTTGGTGATTGTGAAAATATTGATAATCCAAATAAATATGGTAAACCGTTATCATTACCAGAGAAATGGCAACAAATTCCTATATTATGTTTAACATTTATTGCATTTATAGTCAATGTTATATCATTATTTATATTTATATTTGGTGAATACACTATCAATCGTTTAACAAGATACAATGAAATGAAAACAAGAACAATATCATCAACATTATCAAAGAATAAATTTATTACTAAAAAACATAATCGATCAAGAAGTTCCTTTTTAACAAGTTTAATTATATTAAGTATATTTGAAGTCATTTTCAATTTATTTGCATTTTTATTTAAATTAATTGAAATCTTTTCACCATATTTTATTCATCAACAAATAACATTGAATTTCAATAATAATCATATACCACCAGATATAAAAATAATTATAATACCAATATTACATAATATAATTATGTTTATTGCTGATATTGGTTTAATGTGTAGAAATTGGTGTATATGTTTAATAACAATTGCACGTGCTGAAGTTGTTATATGGCCATTAGGTTCAAAATCATGGCAATGTATATTAAGAAAACCATATAAATTTACATTTATATTTATGATCTTTTTTATTATATCAATTATAATATCCGCTTTTAAACATATAGATTATATTGGTTTATTATGTTATGATAAAAGAACTCAAAAATATGGTTTATGGTCAGAAGAATATTATTGGAGTTATGATGATTTTTTAAAATATATGTCATTTATTGTATTACCATATCAAGCAGTTATACCATGGTTTATTATTACTCTATTTACTATACTTATCTTATTTAGATTAAAACCATGGAAAAATGATAAAAATTTAATTTTATTTACTAATAATACAAAATTTTTAGAGGATATACCTGATATACAAAAATCAGAACCACAAAAACAACAACAATGTTGTATACAACAAGATGCTTTAAAGAAACGTCAACAAGGTCAAATTAAAGCAACAAGAATTGTATTAGTTGTTGCTATTTTATTTGGTTTATTCGAATGTATGAATTTCATTGTATCAATATGTCAAACAACAAAACTTATAACTAATAATTCTATAAATCGTATATTAGAAACAATTGGCAATACATTTATAGCAACTGATTCTATATGTAATTTCTTTATATTCATATCAATGATGTTATATTTCCGTCAATTATTTGCAAAAATATTTCTTTGTAAAGAAATTAACCAAAATATGAATACTACTACTACTACGCTTACTACTACTAATAATAATAATAGTACTGTTCCACAAAAGAACACATCATATACTTCTGTTAATCAAACATATATGACTAATGTGAATGATATGAATAAATTGAATAGTGAACGTCCATAAATTATGGAAGTTTGATTCATTAAAACAAAAATTAAAAAAAAACCTAAAACACAGTTACCTATTGAAAATCTACAATACTTCTTGGCATTATATTAATAGAATTTGCTTAATAAGGTCATATTTTATAAATAATTATTGTTAAGTTATTACAATTTAGTACAACATTCCATTTCTCTTCCCTACATAATAAACTATCTTCTCCATAAGATCGAAGAAATACATTAATCATTGACCTTTATTCGTTTTTGCACTCAGGCAAGATCATAGCCTATATTCAAATCAATTGACTTATGTGGCACATATGTATTCGGTGCCCACTTGTATCAATATTTATGTGTTCAAACAAATAAATAAATAATTATTATTGCTTCAATACATGGTTCAGGTATGTTTTTGTTCATCCAAGTTCAATCAATTACATGTTTGTCATTTGTTTTCTTTTAAAAGAATATATTTTATCGTTTGTCTTCAAATGCGTATATGTAATAATTGTGATTTTGAAGAAAATAAAAGTAATACTACTGATAATTTACAAAGATCTTTTCTTTCTTACTGATTTAAAGTAATTTGAAATTATTTAATCTTTCAGAAATGGTAGTTTATTACAAGTACTTGCCCCTAGCCCCTTCCAGCCAAACAAGTTGGTGAAACCTATTAGGCCATTCTGGAGAGAAATAGGCCATATCGAAGCTCGGTACAACTACCGGGGTTTGAATAGCTGTTTTTGCAATTGGTTGGAGTATGCCCTCTGAGGAGTAACCCCGTAGATTACAAGCACCAATTGTATCAATTTTTCGTCGTTTTTCCATCCAACAATAATTCTGCTGTGATTCTTTGTGAATTTCGTAATCGCTTTAAGAGTATGGGTTGAGTAGGTGATTAGTCTGATCTCTACCACCCGGGTTACCGCTCACGTTAGTTCATGGGTCATCCGTCCTACTATCCAAGAGGCACGACGCGAACGTGTGAGTCGGGTTTTGCCTCCCATTACAAGTACTTACTTCATTTATAAAATTATTATACTACTTATTCCATTAACAATATAAATTTAAAACAATTAGTCCCTTTGATAAATTTTGATAATCCAATGAGAAGACGTAGTTTATCACAATTATGTGATATATTTGCGCAATACATTTCGAACAATCTGATCATACATATACTTGTTAAGAACATTTATATATGAAAAATTAAAAGGTCAACTAGACAGGCTAAGGGTGAGTCATAACAAAGGAAAAATATTAAAGTACATAAAAAACAAATGCGATTACCACTCTGGATAGCAAATCAGTATTACCAGGGTAGGTTAAGTGTAAGAACAAATTGTTTTTGAACACATAAAGGGGGTTTCAATTTTCGTATAACCAAGGCTTCAATAAACTTTAGTATACGTCCTTGAAGGCTTTTGTACAACACAACAAATGCTGATTTGATATCAACCTTATGACCCGTCTCAATCAAATGTTTCGCAATCGATGGTGATGTCAGTCTATCCTGTGATCTTATTTGACTATTGGAATTCATCTGATTCTGCAATCATTTTGGTATATGTTCACCCACCCTTAATTGCAAACCACGATTGCTCCTCCCTGTGTACGTGTTTCCACACATACATGTAAATTGATAGACATAATGGGATGTGTCACAATCGCTTCCGTGCTGTTTGGGCTTTTGGTGAAACACAGACCTTGTCTTTTCGATAATGACAAGTTGGGCTGCATAAAATGTCCGGTTGATAGCTAATTTAAGTCTCTGTTTCAACATGAGACTATTTGTGTCACCTCTGAATGGTAACGTAATATAAACTGGCTTTTTGGGTGCCAGAAGCGTCATAGGTCTGGTCTTATTGCATTATCGAAACAATATAAATGTCAATGAACATAGTCTTTATTATTACTAATTCCTCTAAATAATATATTGATTTCTTTAGTAGACTAAAACTCTTCCTGTATCCTCTTTTTGTTTATTTCTAATTCTGCTAAGGAGTATCTGTTGCAGATGTTATGTATTGACAAGTCAGTAATTACATTTATACATTTTAACAATATCTGGAGCTCGAAATAACTATTAGCCTAAACTAAAGTCATAAATTAGAACTAAGTAACGTAAAAATTTAGTTGGTTTATAAAGCTGTGATTTGAAGAAATACCGCAACCATCACGGAAAATGTAGATGTATGTATAAATAGCTATTTACACAAAGCAAATGACGATTGAGGAGGAAATCAGAGAAGGATACTGAAAATAAATAGAGCACACTACGGAAATCACTAGACCAAAACTTAGAGCAAGCTTAAATTTAGGATCATTAAGGTAAAAGAAAAAAAGATCAACAACATAACAGACGGTGCCAGAAACTGAACTTAGACATTAAGATCATGAACAGTAATTGACAATATCTAGTAAGAAAAGACTGGGACAGATTTACCTGAAGATTCCTGATACTCAGTCTTTTCCCCATAAAACATAACAGACATAAATTTAAATCAACACTAATTAACTAGGTATCAACTCAAAGCTATAAAATTATGGGATGCTGGCTCAGTGGTCTAGAGGTTAAACATTCGCGCGCGAGACCGATAGGTTCTGGATTCGAATCTCACGAGGTTGGATCGTGGATGTGCACTGCTGAGGAGCCTCATACTAGGTCGGGACAGCCGTCCAGTGCTTACAGGTTTTTCATGGTAACCTAGCTTCAATTGTCTCATGAAATCAACTATTAAGAAAACACACATTTAAATTAATTAGATATTGAGATAATTAAATTAAAAAAAACATCAGTTATTCTTTGTTGATAAAAACTGGAACTGTCTATCATAACTCTCATTATTCAAGTGTTTTTTCTTGTATATTACAATTTCTATTTAATATATAGGTCATATGGTGATAATTCTGATATTAATATCAGGCAAATATTACTGATAATGTCTAATTTCTGTTAAAATGTGTTATGTAATAATGTAAGTTATCTGATAGACTTAGTAAATATCAATTTTAATTGCGTGATAAGATTTATCAGCATGATATTGAATAATAGTTATGTTAAAGCAACTCTTCTAGAATCAATTTTGTTTATGGTTAATTGTTTTTCAAGCTCTTTTATTAATTTATTCTAATAAAAAATGTTATTCGGAAAGTAACAATTTGTCTATCTCTTTGCATTATTATCATCGCTATCATGTCTGTATAAACGTGAACTCTTGATCGATCATATGTGACAGCCTACTCAAATAGGTCTCTCTAGCTTCAATGTTGATCGCTTAAATATCGCTCGATGACTTACTCTATTTCCCAAATATATATGTACTCGAATTCTATTATTAGCCTTGATTCGATTTGATTATACATTCGACTATGTATTCACACACTCACTCACTCACTCACTCACTCACTCACTCACTCACTCACTCACTCACTCACTCACTCACTCACTCACTCACTCACTCACTCACTCACTCACTCACTCACTCACTCACTCACTCACTCACTCACTCACTCACTCACTCACTCACTCACTCACTCACTCACTCACTCACTCACTCACTCACTCACTCACTCACTCACTCACTCACTCACTCACTCACTCACTCACTCACTCACTCACTCACTCACTCACTCACTCACTCACTCACTCACTCACTCACTCACTCACTCACTCACTCACTCACTCACTCTCACACACACATTAGCCTCTCTGCTCCAAAGTCGCTCTATGTACTTATAACTTTATTATCTGTGTTATCCGCTAATAAATTGTAGTTGTCGTATCTTATTACCTTCTGAATTCAAACACCGTTGTGATTTATATAATCACAGTTAACGAGATGATTGATTAACGAAGCTAAGCTATTACAATGTGATAAACAATTTGAGTTCATTTGTCACACAACTATTCATATATATATCTAAATAAATGAAGATGGAAATAATTTCATCAATACAAAACTATATATAATAAGATTAAGTATAATGTATTTTCAGTCTAGCTGTTAACATATAACTAATGATATTTTCATAAACAAATTCCTACTGAGTATTATTGTAGTTTGAATGGACGTTAAAATGTTTGTGAGTGACAAATTTCAATACAAGGTATGTTCACTTTTATTCGTTTTAATGATTAATATTATGGTTCTAGGTTTTAAGCAGCTGAAGGGGGTTCATGAAGTAATCTGTGTCTGGTAGAGACAGGTATCTATCTCAGTACAGTCAAAGATGGTCGCGCAATTTCATGAATTATTTGAGGTTAGATATTAACACCGTTGGATGCCGGTTCAGTGGTCTAGATACTAAGCGTTCGCGCATAGTACTGATAGGTTCTTGGTTGGAATCTCACGAGGCGCGATCGTGGGTGCGCACCTCTGAGGAATCCTACAATAGGACGAAACTGCTGTCCAATGCTTCCAGGTTTCTAATGGTGGTCTAACATCAATCGGTTCATGATCTCAATAAAAAATAATGTATTCATGTTATTCTACTACGATATTTATTCTTTTTTATTGGAAAATATATTTAATTATGTATGATGGATTCCTAATAAAAGTGAATTTTGTTTGAAATCTGTTTTAAAAAAATACTGACACTAACAACAAAATCACAAAATATAAAGCAATATCGATTAGTTATTCCCTACAGTACTTGACATATTTGACTTCACAGTAGTTTCAATGATAACGACTGATTGTTCCATATTACAACAATTTATTCAGATAATCCATTGTAATTCAATGAATGCAGAAAGCGAAACCTTATAAGGTAATACATTAAAATGCACTACCAACTGTTCATTGAAAGAGAGGTTGAAAATAAATTTGACCTAAGGCCGGAATAATTTATGTAAAGTAACTTAACAATTAACAGTGAAAGTGAGACTTGAATAAAGTAAATACTGAAATATAAAGAGTAATGAGGTTTCTATAACTCAACAATTACAGCTTCAAGATATTTGTTTACGGATTTTATTTACATCAGAAATGAGATATTTCAAAGGTAGCGTAAAAT